TGCTTATTAACTCTCCAAGTAGAATGCAGAATCCATAAGAGCAGGACCTTTTTGTCTTTCACTACACCCACAGCAAGTGGAAAAAGCACATACAAAGCAGCTTTTAAATAGGTGGCTAATTAGTAATAATTACAGGAATATTACTTGTGTGCTAGAACCATGATGCTTTCAATATACTGACTTATTAAACCCCCTGTGACTCTATGAGGTATGCAATAGTTAGCTTCACTATGTTTCATAATCCCTATTATGAATGCTCATTATTGCAAATAAGAATATGGAAGCACAAAGGACTTCAGGGAATATGCCCAAGGTGACCTAAATGAATAAGTGGAAAACTACAATCTAAATCCTACCACATACACAGTTTATCCCCTTACTGAAGCCAAGTTCTAAGATATTAAGTTATCTGAGGATTTTTACAATCCAAAGCACCCAACCTATCCAACAGTCTGTCCTCCATCACCGTTCTGTCCTAGCTCAGCATAGACATAAAACATCTAGAGTGAAATACGATTACACATACACGATAATAGCAGAGTGGGCAACATAATGCAGCAGTGGACAAGCAATTCAACCCATGAATGTGTGACATGAATGTGTGAATGTGTGACTAAGACAGCCACGTGTTTCACAAAGTTGAGGTAAAATAGCTCAAGGCTCTGAAGATTTAGGCCCCTGATAAATAGTTATAGGCCTCTCTAAAACCTGGGAAGGGCAGCTGGGCTGAATGTTCAGAGAGGTAAGGCAGACCCTGGATAGTGAAACACCGCATGCTTCAGAATGCCATGCCAGTTTGAAGCCTATTTGGTGGAACATTTGGACCTAGTTCCCCCACAAAAGTAGTCCAAGAAGGCCTTCAGCTCAACATGATTCTGCAGAATGGATGAAGGACACCTGAGTTACCACTGATTCGCTCAAAATTTCCCCAGCCCAGCAAACAGCACCACCAGCACCAAACAGTTGAAACCTGGTCCCACTGGAGAATAATTCAATTCAATTCAATAGAATGATATCCATTGTCAGACTGGATCCAAGGATGTTCTAATGTTCTAATGTTCTAATGACTCTTGATTTTGCCTTACTATCCATATATGTGTGTTTGTGTGTATGTACACATATATGCATATATATGTATGACTATTAAAGCCTTATGTATATGGAGATACGAGTTTTACATCTGTCCAACTGAACAGGAAGCTTTTCCCAGTGCCATAGAAGCACTACATTCTCCTACCTCTTGCCATTATTTCCCATAATTCCTTGATCTGCTCCTTAACAACAGATAGCATCCAAAGCTTAGAATTTGGTCCTGCGTTAATTCGCTTTATAGTCTCTAATTCAAATTTCACCACCAAGTCTTTACTTCCAGCTTCAACCTGACTCACATCTCTCCACTGTGGTGTCTTCTGTACTTACTAAATAGTTGAAATTTAGCTAATCTTAGCTAAGATGTGTGGTGAAAATTCTCCTGCTTTTAAGTACAAAAAAAAGGAAATAGCTTGATAATAATCTTATAAGCATTAAAAGTAGTATTGGTCTTATATTTGTATTTTTTTAAATGTTGATATTCTGGGAAAGAGCAAGGGAAGGGGTGACAATGTCCAAAAAAGAAATGTATTCTTTACCTGGCTTACGTAACCATAACCCCTCTGTCCATCACCTTTATAATAACAATTTTTTAAAGAAATGCTTATATTCAAATGACAGTATTTTGGCCAAATAAAATGTGTTATTTTACCACCTTCTTGTTATTTTTTAATGTGGGTTCTAGAAAATTTTGAGTTGCCTATGTGGCTGATTTTTTTTTTCTTTGTCGGTCCTGGGGCCTGAACTCTGGGCCTGGGCACTGTCCCTCAGCTCTTCAGCTCAAGATTAGCACTGTACCACTTGAGCCACAGCACCACTTCTGGCTTTTTCTGCTTATGTACTGCTGAGGAATCGAACCCAGGAACTCATGCATGCTAGGCAGGCATTCTACCACTGAGCCACTTTCCTAGCCCCGTGGCTGATATTTCTACTAGACACCATCTCTCTATATCTACTATCTCGACTAAGACTGTCCCTCAAAGGCACCAGGCTTTGGTTTTTTTACCAATTGAAATAGATGGAGATAATAGTATCAGTAACTTTTCATTTTCCACTATCCTTGTGATGGTATCATTCCCATTTTATAAATAGCAGGCTTATAAAATACAGAGAGAATTCAAGTGACAATCATATTAAAACAATGGAGCACAGATTAGAGTCCAGGCAGCGAGCTCCACAGTCCTCTTATTTCTGCTTTTGTTTTTGAGAAAGTCACGCTAAGGAACCTAGGCTGTCCTAAAACCCACAATCCTGCCTCAGTCTTCCAATTACAGGTATACATCATAAAACCCAGCCAGGACTCATGCTTTAAACCTGTCTCTTAGGATACATCCCTCAGAAAGCCACACATTTCCCATTTCCTGAGATCAAAACTTCAACATTGCTTTTCTTCTCTCCCTCCCATGCCCTGAACCTCTAGTCAGATCTTCTTGAAGAGTTTCAATTTATCTGCTCTCCTCCTCCTGCTTCCTCCTTAGCCTGCCTTTCACCTGCTCACACTGCATCTATCAACAAGAACACTTCATAGTGATATTGATCAAGAGGTATTATATTCATAAACTATTTTAAGGCAACTCCTTTGTACAACTGCTTAAAGACAATAAGTAAATAAATGAAACACTTTAAATAGTGCTCATGTGCCAGATATACTTCCTATCTATTTAACCCTTCCCTTCCTATAACCTTTTCCAGTCTCCAGGACTTCTGTGGCTCTAATGGTGTCTGCATTTCTTTGGTAAACTGGTCTTCCTGGATGACCAATTTTATCCTGTGATGGGAACAATAAAAGTATATGGCTTCTTCACACTTGGACCCATCGAGTGATTTAAGTATGTAAAAGGCAGGTGCTCTATTAAGGAGGCTCAGAAAATAAAGAATTCTGTCCCCATCACATCTCCGATAGAATCCTGTCTTAACTCTGCAGTGAAATATCCACATAACCCAGCTCCACCCTACCTACTCCACCTTATCTCCACTCCCTAACACAAACTCTCCATAGTAGTCAAACAAGTCTCTTCTCTCAAGTAAATAATTCTTACACGAGTTCCCAAGGGCCTCAAAATAGCTGAACTCTTCTCAATGCAATAAAACTGCCCATGTCATTCAGTGAGGTCCATAAAGAGCCAGCAGCCCAAAGTGATGATGCACACCTGTTAATCCCAGCACTAGGGAAGCAGGATTGAAGAGTACCAGAACAACCTGGGCTATAGAGAGATAACAAGTTTCAAAACATAGGGGGCCCCAGGGTATGATAATACTTGCCTTTAATCTCAGCTATTCAGGTAATGGAGGCAGCAGGAGGGAGTTTTGATGCCAGCTGGGCAAAAGTGAGAGACCCTTTTTGAAAAATAAACTAAAAGCAAAAGCATGTGACTGAAGTGATAGCCTGCTTGTGTGGAAAGGCTCTCAATTCCATCCCCCTGAGGGAGGAAAAAAGGTATTTATTAGAGAGCAAATGCCACTTGCTATTTACAATACAACAATAAGGCCATGGGCAACAAGAAGGCACACACTACATCCTACATTTTTTTATCTCCGTGTCTACAATAGTCCTCCACATACATTTTAATTTAGCAGGTGGCATGATAGTTAATGAGTTGTAGATAATGTAGATAAAAATTACCCTGCAAATACCCCAGTTTAGTCATCCGTATTTCCTCAAAGTAACAGGAGCAATACTGAGTTTGGGTTTCAAGGCAGTTGGCTTCACCACACTCAAATTTATGATCATCACTGCTCATTAAATAGAAAAAAATCCTGTGAAGGACACACTAAAGTGCACCCTTGATCAGGTGAGATTCAAAGCAGCATGACTTACTTGTTCACTCTACCCTGACTCTCAGGTGACTGGCACGGCTGGCAGCTGAACCCTGGCCAGGAGTCCACCTCTTCTCTCAAGGGGAAAGAAAAGTAGTGAAAACTCTTGATCATAGCAACACAATTGGTCAAGAAAATAATTCCCAAAGGACATGTGCCTGAAACTGCTTTTTTTTTTTTTTAATTCTTTGGCTCACTGTGGACAAGTGCTGATTTGCTAATACTGCATTCTTCAAGGTTCTGTCAGACTGGGAAATAAACATTTCCATCCAAAGCTAAAACAAGGGTCTTTCCAAAAAGTCCAAAGCGGGGCCTTCTCCCATTCAGGAGTTTATCATCTTAGCTTTCTCAGGAAGGAGGAATTCCTTCTGAAGACACAAGCCTTGGCCCACAACCCTAAGAGGTGAGTCGCTGCCAAACGTAATAAACCATTCGTCTTGCCACACTTACTGTCACCACCGATCAAGCCTTTAAAACTAAGCTTTTGGTTTTTGTTCTTTCTTGGTCAGACATTGCAGTTTCAAGCAGAGACACAAAGGGCCTCAGTGGAGGGCCCGTCTCCGCTCATGAATGGCCACATTGTGGAGTCCTCTCCCCCGGGCCCACTGAAACTCAGCCATGGAAAGCCGTGGATGGAGATCGACCCCAACCTGGGCCAGCCCCACCGGCAGAGCCAGGAGAAGCAGGGTCGTGCAGAGGGAAGGGCCCGGCCTCCGCCACCGCTGCAAACACCACGACCCCTCCACCCCCGCCCCCACCCCCGCCGGGGCCGCGGGGCGCCGGGACTCCGTGGGAACCGAGGCGCGGAGGGGGGGAAAGGGGGAGTTCTGCCCACGGACGAGGAAGGGGCGGCGCTGCAGGGCCCCGATCGAGACCCCCACCACACACACACACACACACCCCACGGCCGCTGCCGTCACGCCTCTGCGCCCCGCCACCACCCACCGTCCCCGCCAGGACACGACGCGGTCCCGGTGCCCACCCCCAGGAGGATGCCTGCCGAGGATGCAGGCGGAAAGCAACGGGCTTCCCCGGACCACCCCCTACTCCTCGCCCTCCGCCCCCCCCCCAACTCCCCGGCCGCCCTCGCTCACCCAGTTCTGCGCGTTCTGAGTCAAGTTGCTCAGCTTGACTTTCTTGCACAGGCTCCCGGGAATCTCCATAACCGCAGAGCGCGCGCGCGCGCGGACACCGGGGCTCTGCGCGCCCTCGGGGTAGCGGGAGGCAGGTCGGAGAGGCGGGGCGTGGCTGCAGGGCGGGGCCAAGCTGGCGGCGGCGCGCGCGCGCGCACGCCCTCGGGCTCGCGGCCCCACCCGCCCGAGTGCAGCTTCTGCACGCCCCTCAGTGGAGGAGGGCGGGCCAGAGGAACGGGGCCGAGCTGGAGGCGCGCGCACGCGCGCGCGGGCCTCAGAGACCTAGAAGATAGGTGGGTGGAGGCGACCTGAGCCAGGATCTGGGGGCGGAGCTTCAACGCCCACACCCTAGGGAGCGCGCACGCCGTCTCGGGCGTTGAGCATGCGCAGAGGGCGGGAGCGAGTTCCCGGGCTCGGCTGCCGGGGAAGGTGCACGCGCCCGCAGGGTTGCTCAGCTGAGGGAAGGAAGATGCTGACGTGGGCTGTTGCTCGACTAGCTTCTTCTGGACCAACCCAGAAAGCGGCTTCCTATAGGCCCTAGCTGCGTGCTCACGTCAGCCTGGCCAGGTTTAAAACACTTTCCAGCCTCGCTGAGGTAAGAATTCATTTGGGTGTTATGTCCTTCACTTTCAAACTCTCCTCCATGCATTTCCCCTCAGAAGTCACCACTGGGATCTTTAACCTCAATAGTTAGTGCCTCAGCCCCCCTAGGAAGGACATTTCTAATTCATCCACTAGTCCACGGCCAGTTCGTAGAAGGAGGGGGGGGCTTCCCCCATGGTTGTCTCCCCCTCCCACCCAGCCCCATACACTAAGCCCTCTTGTCCCAGAGCATCTTGTTGGCAGTGCTGCCTCTCCCATGACCCAACTCCACACGCGCACACACACACACACACACCCCAATCACACACACACCCCAATCACACACACCCCCATCACACACCCCAATCACACACACACACACACCAATCACACACACACCCCAATCACACACACACCCCAATCACACACACACACACCCCAATCACACACACACACACACACCCCAATCACACACACACACCCCAATCACACACACCCCCATCACACACACACCCCAATCACACACACACCCCCCAATCACACACACCCCCATCACACACCCCAATCACACACACACACCCCAATCACACACACACCCATCACACACACACTCCAATCACACACACACCCCAATCACACACACACACCCCAATCACACACACACCCCAATCACACACACACACCCCAATCACACACACCCCCATCACACACCCCAATCACACACACACCCCAATCACACACACCCCAATCACACACACATACACACACACCCAATCACACACACACCTCAATCACACACACACCCCAATCACACACACACACCCCAATCACACACACACACAAATACACACACACCCCAATCACACACACATACACACACCCCAATCACATTACACACCCCAATCACACACACATACACACACCCCCAATCACACACCCCAATCACACACACACACCCCAATCACACACACACACCCCAATCACACACACACACAAATACACACACACCCCAATCACACACACATACACACACCCCCAATCACATTACACACCCCAATCACACACACATACACACACCCCCAATCACACACCCCAATCACACACACACCCCAATCACACACACACCCCAATCACACACATACACACACCCCCAATCACACACACACCCCAATCACACACACACCCTATCACACACACACCCTATCACACACACACAACCCAATCACACACACATACCCCAATCACACACACACCCCAATCACCACACACACAAATACACACACACCCCAATCACACACACATACACACACCCCAATCACACACACACCCCAATCACCACACACACAAATACACACACACCCCAATCACACACACATACACACACCCCAATCACACACATACACCCCAGTCACACACACACACCCCAATCACACACACACAAATACATACACCCCAATCACACACACACAAATACACACATACCCCAATCACACACACACACACACCCTAATCACACACACACATACACACACCCCCAATCACACACACACACCCCAATCACACACACACAAATAAACACACACCCCAATCACACACACATACACACACACCCAATCACATACACACAAATACAGACACACCCCAATCACACACACATACACACACACCCCAATCACATACACACACACCCCAATCACACACACATACCCCAATTCACACACACACATACACACCCCAATCACACACCCCAATCACACACACACCCCCAATCACACACACACCCCAATCACACACATACACACACACCCCAATCACACACATACACACACCCCAATCACAATCACACACACACATCCCAATCACACACAAATACACACACACACCCATCACACACACACACCCCAATCACACACACACACACCCTAATCACACACACGTACACACACCCCCAATCACACACACACCCCAATCACACACAAATACACACATACACACACACACCAATCACACACACACACACCCCAAACACCAAGACCTAAGGCCATTGTCTCTCTGCTGGCAAATCAGCCCCCTTGGCTTACCTGGCGTTGTCTCCTATGACAGGACCCCCTTTTCCTGCCTGAATCATCACTCAGCCCCTTCTCCCGCCACCTGCAACATTCTACCTGTCGAGATGATACTTCTCAGATACAAATCTGAACTTGATACTCCACCAATTTAAAATGCCAGGGAGGCCCCTTAGCTTTTCCGAGAGCATTCTTAATCCGAGGGCTGTGTACCATAGACAGCTGCATTTCCATATAATTCTGAATTCTGCCTTGAAAAGGATTGTTCTTAAAAGATAATCCCAAGCTTCACCGAGTTCTCTAAGCATTGTGCTTCCTTGTTAGAGGGAAATGGTTCTTAAATACAATCAAGGCTGTAGGTGTACTTCACTGCTTTTCAGTTGGTCCTTCTTTCTTTCTTTTTGCTTTTTTAAAGGGGCTGGGAATGTGGCTTAGTGGTAGAGTGCTTGCCTAGCATGCATGATGCCCTAGTTCAATTCCTCAGTACCACAAACAAAGCCAGAAGTGGCACTGTGGCTCTAGTGGTAGAGTGCTAGCCTTGAGCCAAAGAAGCTCAGGGACAGTGCTCAGACCCTGAGTTCAAGTCCTAGAACTGGCAAAAAAAAAAAAAGAGGCAGAAGAAAATAAGGAGGAGGAGGAGGAGGAGGAAGAGGAGAGGGGGGAGGAGGAGGGGGGGGAGGGGGAGGAGGAAGAAGAAGAAAAGAGAATTCCCCAAATTTATTTGAAGTTGGTGAAAAATAGACAATTGTGTTGATACTGTGAAGTCAAATTCATGGGTCATGAAAATTACTTTGAAAAAGCTTGTCAGACCAGAAATAGGAAAACTAGCGAACACATTGGGAGAATGTCAAAAGAACTAAGGAATCAACTTAAAGAAGTTTGGTCAAATATGACACAATTAAAGTCAGGCATGATGGCACATGCCTGTAATTGTAGCACTGAGGCAGGAAAATTACAAGTATGAGGCCATCTTGGGCTGACTCAAAACAAACAAATGACACAATTAGAACACTAATGGAATAATTGCAAATTATTGAGATGTGTTAAGTCTTTGTTTAAGGCTATGTGTTTATAGAGGCGATAATTTAAGAAGAACAAATTCTTGTAAGTTGTGTTGAACTACCCCATTTTGAAAACCAATAAAAGAGAAGAATTAAACATTTCACCCCTTCTCAACTTTTTTTTTAAACTGGTTATGGGGCCTGAACTCTGGGCCTGCACACTATCCCTCAGCTCTTCAGCTCAAGGCTAGCACCCTACCACTTGAGCCACAGCACCACTTCCAGCTTTTTCTGCCTGTGTGGTGCTGAGGAATCGAACCTAGGGCCATATGCATGCAAGGCAAGCACTCTACCACTGAGCCACCTTCCCAGCACCCCCTTCTCAACATTATCTGCAATCAATCAAAACTCAGAAACTAGAGAAGTAAAAAGGACTTTATTTGAAGTCATAGGAATTTCAGCTCAGGGGAATAGGTTCAGATAGCTCTGGGTCTGTGTTCCAAAGAATATAAGGGAAGTGAGATCTCATATGATCTATTGAATGTTGAAAAGGAACAGCTGTGTAATGACAAAAGACAGAAAAGAGAGTGTATAAACAGAATGAAAATGTTCATTATATAAAAGTATACAATATAAAGCGCTAGCCTTGAGCTGAAGAGCTGAGGGACAGCGCCCAGGCCCAGAGTTCAGGCCCCACGACCGGACCCAAAAAAAAAAGAGTATACAATAACTTCTTGATAACTGTGAGTTATGCTGGTCATCCTAGATACCTACAGTCAAAGTGAAGTGACCAAGCAAGGCTCACATTTCAAGCAGAAGCTAGAGACTTGCTTTCTAATGGACTCTCAACCCCATTTTGAACAACTCTTTCAAAACTGGACACTGGCAGCTCAAATAATCCTAACTACTCAGGAGGCTGAGATTTGAGGATTGTAGTTGGAAGCTAGCCAGGAAAGGAATGTCCATGAGACTCTTGTCTCCAGTTCATCACTGAAAAGCTAGAAGTAGAGTTGTGGCTCAAGTAGTAGAGCACCAATCTTGAGCAAAAAAGCAAAGGAGCAATACATCCAGGCCCTGAGTTCAAATCCTCATACCAGTGCATGCATACACACACACACACACACACACACACACACACACACACACACACACATACACAAAACCTTTCAGTATTTATTGCTTTTACCACAATTTTCTGTTTATTTTTACACAGGATCCTATTTATGAAATAAAATAGGATTACTTGAAAGTAGCATTTGATGTCATGACAGTTGCCATCATAACCAAGCTGGTTACAAGTGACTATTAGATGGAAGTGTATAAAGTGTGGTTCACTAGACAACTGGATGATTCATTCTTGGTGGGATGAAGTAAGATGATGCAATGTGAAGTTTTAAAAATTAATTATTGCTGTAATTTTTCACTTAGTGATTGACTATCTTGACAGACCCAAT